TGTATTTAGAAAATCCTGTTGGGCAGGAACTGCACATGCACCAGCCTGAGTTGTGCTCATGAAGCTGAACTGTACGTGTGTTTATACAGCGCTGAAAACAGAGAAGGCAGACTACATTAGCACTGGAGCCTCTCATGTCTAGACCGACATACATCAGCTGTGACATACTAAACATTACACTCCATGTGTTTATGTGTAAGCTGTGTCTTGTTGTTTTGCATTATTTCACTGCAGGAATTCATTCACAAACATTGTTCATAGAACTTTTACACAAAGCACATTACTGGGCATTATAAAATGAATATTCTGCCTTTAATCCTGGTTTCCATAGTCCCTCTATTATAAATATTCATAATCTCATTTTCTCTGGGGATTACAGTATTGTCATTTGGAAAGATATTCATTCTGTTTGGTTTTTCTAATGCCGCCCAAATCATAGAATGCTACATGGTGATCCAAATGTCATACCATAGCCCAGGGTGTCTAAGCTAGGGTTCCTCCAGAGGTTGATAAGGGTTCCTTGAGCAATTTGCAATTTCTGCCTCTCAGATAAGTTCCCACTGACACCATTGATCTTTTTTTATCTACCTGTAAAGGGGTAACTCTTTCCAATGATCAGAAGTGTAAGGAGCATTCTTCCCACTGACCATCATACTAATGTATTGCGAGATGTAGATGTAGTAGTTTTTTAGCAGGGGCTCCCTGAGAACAGAAATTTATTTCAAGGGTTCCTTGGTGTTGAAAAGGTTGAGAAAGGCTGCCATGGCCTTTTGCTGGCCATAAATTGGGCAATGTTATGGCAATTTAAAATTTGAATTTATGAAATGGTGCCAGCCTTTGGTGCAAAATCAAACTCACTGTGCTCAAACTGGGAATTGCCGATTGCCTCTTGGGATTTCAGAAAGGAATTTATTTCCTTCACTGGAGCAAATTGAATCATTCTTTATTGGGGTTTTTTTTGCCTTCCTCTGGATCAACTGTGGGTATAGGATAGTGCATATGGAGGCCTTCTGTTTGTGTGTGTGTTTTCTTTTTTTTTCTCTGTTGGTTGGACTGGATGGACTGTCTTTTTTCAACCAGGTTAAATATGTAATTGTGGGTAGGTCTGAAGTCTGTGGGCAAGTAACAGTGCAATGGCTAGGGCTCTCTTATGCCCATCATGCAACCGAATGCAAAATCTGCCACTCATTCACATACTATGGAATCTTCTTTATTAAAAAGTGTTGAGGCATTTCAGCTAGGTACAGCCTTAGTCATAACTAAGGCTATACCTAGCTGACACGCGTCAACGCTGTTTGTACCAAGGTGTTTTATTTATAGTGATTTAATAAAGAAGATTCCACGGTCTGTGAATGGGTGCTGACCTTTGAATTCACAGCCTTTGGTGCCCTAAAGAGCCCACTTTTGTAAGGATCACTTCGCTTTACCTATAGTGACAATTGGGGGATTTACTAAAACTGGAGAATGCAAAATCTGGTGCATCTCTGCATAGAAACCAATCAGCTTCCAGGTTTTATTGGCAAAGCTTAAATGAACAAGTTAAATCTAGAAAGGGATTGACTACCATGCACATCTGCACCAGTTCTGAGTGCTCCGGTTAAATCTCCCCCATGGTGTACTTAATTTATTTGGTGTATATGTGTGAAAAGTTGCCTTTCTTCTTCTGCCACCCATAGGCACAAGCCTAGGGTGAATCAAGGTACCCTGCAGCCAACCATTTCTATCACAATCTTGAAAAAAAATAAAACCATTGGTGGTATGTTGCCATTAATCAATTTTGAAATCAAAAGTTGGTTTAGGAGTAAGTAGGTATGCAGATCAGCAAACTTTGAAAAAGTCAGTGGTCCTTATCTGCATAATTGCCCTGGGTTAGCAAAGCATTGAAACCAGAGGGTCAGCATCACACCCAGACATGCCCATTCTGCAACATGAAAAGTGAGCATTGACAGCCTTCATGTAAGAAATATGAAGAGCAGCCATTCTCAACCCGGTTTCCGTGAAACCCTAGGTTTCCTTTAAAAGTTCCCAATGATTTTTTGACCTGTGGCAGATTTACCACCCATGTACTGGTGTATGCATAGTCCTTGGAGCAATGCCACTTGGCAGAGCCAGCTGAAGGACACCAGTGATCTGATTGTAAAGCATAGCATTTTGACCACCACTGTAAGGGGGGTATTCTTCCCACTGGCCATCAATGCAAGTGGTATTTTTCTCATTGGCACTCAATTATTTGGTTTTAGCTGTTCCTTGAAAATGATTTTAAGGGTTCCATTCTCAACCAGAGTTCAGTGGAAACATAGTGTCCTTTCACAGGTTCCTAGTGGTTGTTTGGGCTCTGTCGGATCTACCTCTGCTGTGATGGTGCCTGCGTAGTACTGGGTCCAATGCCACTTGATAGAGCCAACTGCATGACACCAATGATCTGTCTGTAAAGGAGGCATTCTTCCCACTGGCCATCCATACAAGTGGCACTTTTCTTACTGACATGCAATGAATTGGTTTTAGCAGGGGTTTCCTGACACCTGAAAATTATGTTAAGGGTTCCTTTGGGGTAAAAAGGTTAAGAAAGGCTGTGCAAATATGACTATAGTATTAGTATTAGACTGTAAGCTCCTCAGGGGCAGAGACTGATTTAAATAATGTGCTGTTTTCTATAAACATCTAGCTGAAATGATTCAGATGACTATTAAAGTTGTTTTGAATTGTCCCATATTGCAGAAAATCTCCAAAGATAAGCAGATCACGTAAACCTGTAAAAATATTAATAATAAAGTATATAAACTCCCTTTAAAAAATAATTGTGAGGCCATGACATAGTCACCATTCTCAGGATGCTGCACATTTTCCATTACTTTGGGCCAAATGGTCTAATGTCTGGTGAGGCCGGGTGTGGCAGTAAGAGAGGATGCAGCCTTTCATAGTGAGCTCTCATAGAGGAAAGAAAGATTGTATCCAGCTGGCTGATAAAAACATCATGCTGCTTCTCTTTGATATCTAAAACCATATAAATCCTGTGAAAACAAGAAATCTATAGATACAAATTTAGATGGAAGAATAGAACATGAGCAGAGCTAAAGTGGTATTTCCTACAGTTTGCTACATGATGGGAAAGATGTATGAGATGAGTGAAAAAATTCATATCTTCATTCCATGATATATATAAACATGGCCATGGATTGTACAAGAATAATGGGAGAGCATATGCACAGCTACAGTATATATCATAGTATAACTATGCATAGAGAAGGTGAGAAGGGGAGAATTAAAACTGCTGTCCAGGTTTTTACACCAGCTCGGGCTCATTAAGGAGTCTTCCCTTCACTTCCTGTCCTGTAGACTAAACAGGAAGTGTGAAGATATTATTTTAATGTGAGGGAAGTACTCTCTTAGACAGTTTTTTTTTTATGAAAATAAGTGTCCCTATTGAATGTTTTCCCCTCTATTCCTGTCCTGGTAGCAACTCAAAAAGTGTAGTTTTACCAATCATTTTCATTCCCAGTAACGTTAGTAATTAGGACAATTATATTACCTTTATGTAGCCAGGTGCTGGCTATTAGTGATGGGCCAAACACCCCCCTATTCGACACGCGGTCAAACATTTGAACCAACAGAATGTTGGACCGTGAACTTCGAACATGAACAATTTACTGAGCGGTATCTTACCGCATCTGAGTATGTGGTAAGATACTGCTCAGTTACTAAAATACCACGTGAGTTATATTATTAGGTCATGCAGTATTTTAGTAGTGAAACATTCATTACTTTTTCAGCTGTCAGTGGGGTTCCCCGCTGACAGCTGAATACATAGTTACGTAGCTAGTCTGGCTGAAAAAAGACAAAAGTCCATTCAGTTCAACCATTAAAAAAAAGTTATAATCCTATACCCACAGTTGATCCGGAGGAAGGCAAAAAAAAAAACCCATCAAAGCATGATCCAATTTGCTCCTGCACGGGAAGAAAATTCCTTCCTAATCTCCCTAGAGGCAATCGGATATTTCCTGGATCAACTTTACCTATAAATGTTAGTATCCAGTTATATTCTGTGTATCTAAGAAAGAATCCAGGCCTTTTTAAAAGCAATCCAGTGAGCTGACCAGAACCAACTCTTGAGGGAGTCTATTCCACATTTTCACAGCTTTCACTGTGAAGAAACCTTTCCGTGTTTGGAGATTAAATTTCTTTTCCTCCAGACGTAAAGAGTGCCCCCTTGTCCTCTGTGATGATCTCAGGTTGAATAGCTCTACACCGAGTTCACTGTATGAACCACTGATGTATTTATACATGTTGATCATATCCCCCCTTAATCTCCTCTTCTCAAGAGAGAATAAATTCAGTTCCTTTAATCTTTCCTCATAGCTGAGCTCCTCCATGCCTCTTATCAGTTTGGTTGCCCTTCTCTGTACTTTCTCCAGTTCCCCAATGTTCTTTTTGTGAATTGGTGCCCAAAACTGAACTGCATATTCCAGATGAGGTCTTACTAATGATTTGTACCGGGGTAATATGATATCTCTCTCTGGAGTCTATACCTATTTTAATACAAGAGAGGATTTTGCTCACTTTAGAAACCGCAGCTTGGCATTGCATGCGATTATTAAGCTTGTGATCTACCAGAACTCCCAGATCCTTCTCCACCATTGATTCCCCCAGTTGTACCCCCCCTAGTATGTATGATGCATGCATATTCTTAGCCCCCAAGTGCAGAACCTTACATTTATCAGCATGAAACCTCATTTGCCACATAGTTGCCCAATTAAACCATGGATTGAGGTTGGCTTGTAAGTTGGAGACATCCTGTAAGGACGTTATTCCACTGCACAGCTTGGTGTCATCTGCAAAGACTGAAAAGGTATTTTTAATCCCAGACCCTATATTGTTTATAAATATATTAAAAAGTAAGGGTCCCAACACTGCACCTTGAGGTACACCACTGATGACCCTAGACCATTCAGAGTATGAATCATTAACTACTACACTTTGAATACGATCTTTTAGCCAGTTTTCTATCCATTTACATACAGATTTTTCCAAGCCTGTAGACTTTACCTTACACATTAGCCGTGTGTCGGGAACTGTGTCAAAGGCTTTTGCAAAATCCAAGTATACTACGTCTACCACCACCCCTCTGTCCAAGTATACCACGTCCACCGCCACCCCTCTGTCCAAGTATACCACGTCCACCGCCACCCCTCTGTCCAAGTATATCACTTCCACCGCCACCCCTCTGTCCAAGTATACCACGTCCACCGCCACCCCTCTGTCCAAGTATATCACGTCCACCACCGCCACCCCCCCTCTCCAAGTATACCACGTCCACTGCCACCCCTCTGTCCAAGGTTTTGCTCACCCCCTCATAAAAAGAAATCAGATTTGTTTGACAACTTCTGTCTTTCATGAATCCAGGCTGTCTTGCTTAAATTTTTTTTTTTTCCAGCAAGAACTCATCTATGTGATCTTTTATTAAACTCTCCAGTATCTTCCCAACTATAGAAGTTAAACTAACAGGTCTATAATTACTTGGTAAATATTTTGTCCCCTTTTTAAATATTGGCACCACATTGGCCTTACGCCAATCCAGTGGTACTATGCCAGTCATTAAAAAGCCCCTAAAAATTTGAAAAAATGGCTTTGAAATGACAGAGCTCAATTCTTTAACCTTCCTGGCGGTATTCCCGAGTGTAGCTCGGGTTAATTATCAGTGCCAAAAGCGGTAACCTCGATCTACACTTGGGATTACCCTAAAGCGTTGCTCTGGGATCCCTCCAGCACTTACCTTGTCCTTCGCTCCCACGATGTCCCTCCTGCAGCGTCCCCGGGCATCTCCTCCAGCCGATTATCCGTCTTCCGGGTTCCGGTCCCTACGAGCGTTGGTACGCATGAGAGGTACGTGGGCTGGAACCAGCGGGAAATTTAAACATTTTAAAAAGTGGTATTCATGAAATACACTAAAATCACATAGTAAAACATTGCTGTTTCAAGCCATTTCACATACATTTTGTCCCTACTGCTTTGTCCTGTGCCCTGCCTGCATGTTTTACTGTTCTTTCTGCCTTGAAACTGAGAAACATCCATGGCGTCCAAAAAGCGTCCCTTTATGCCAAAAGCGTTTTTAGACCAGCTAGAGAACAGCGATAGTAAATTAGAACCACTTGCAGAATTGAGTGATAATGATTCGTGGGGAAATTCGTCATCAGACACTGAAAACGATTTTGCGACTTTGCTCAGCGATGTGCGAACTTGGCACTCTATTTTATTTTTCAGTATTCTTGGTTTGATTATATTATTGAACTAAATGTATTATTATGTTTACTAGACTCTTGTTCGGACAGATTTCAGTGAGCTATTCATAAAAATTACAGGCCTACAATAAAAAAAACGACATATTTCCATGCAAAAAAATGTACCGCTTTGAACACAGAAATATTGACATAATCAGACCGCTAGTGAGGTTAAAGACCCGTGGTTTTATGCCATCTGGTCCAGGTGCTTTATTCACCTTTATTTTGTCTAAGTATTTTTGGATCATATCAATTGTGAGCCAATGTGGATCATCTGGAGCTGTGTCAATACCATGCCCATTATGGACAAGAGCTCCCCCATGCCCCTTTGTATACACAGAGCTGAAGAAGGTATTTAATAAATTTGTTTTCTCTTTGTATCCAATCACCCATTTTAGATTATTTTGTAAAGAGTCTACATGCTCGGACCGGACTTGTTTACTATTAATATATTTGAAGAATTTTTGGGGTTGGTTTTGCTATCTTTTGCAATCTGTCGTTCATTTTCAATTTTTGTGGCCTTTATTTTCTTTTTGCATATTCTGATATATTCTTTGGAATGTTTAAACGATGATAGTCTTCCTTTATTTATATATTTAATAAAAGCTCTTTTCTTATTAGATTGTAAGCTCCAAGGAGCAGGGCCCTCCTAACCCTCTTGTATTGAACTGTATTGTTGCTGTATTGTCTCCCGTTATATTGTAAAGTGCTGAGCAAACCGTTGGCGCTATATAAATCCTGTATAATAATAATTTTAGCTATAGCTTTTTTAACTTTGGCCATGAGCCACATAGGATTGATTTTTAGCCTTTTAAACTTGTTGCCCATGGGAATATATTTTGCAGTGTGTTCACATACAGTCTTTTTGAAGAACTCCCATTTCTGTGTTGTGTTCATTGATGCCAATATTCCCTCTCATGTAAAAAGAATTGTCAGCATTGCCCATCAAAAACAATTTAAGAAACCAACATGGGATCCTCCCTCCTATCTGTACCAAGCCCTTTGGGTCTGGTATGGATTTTATGAAGAACCCCCACAGCAAAATGTAAAAAAAAAGTGGTATGGGGGTCCCCCCTAAATTCCATACCAGACCCTTATCCAAACACGCAGCCCAGCAGGTCAGTAAAGGTGGGGCCGAGCGAGCACCCCCCCCTCCTTAACCATACCAGGCCACATGCCCTCAACATGGGGGGGTGCTTTGGGGCAGGGGGGCTCCAACCAAAGCACCTTATCCCCATGCTACCCATTCACAAAAAAAAAAAGTGTAGTGTAAAAAAGACAGGAGACAACCTTTGATAAGTCCTTTATTAAAAATAAAAAAAAATGTCCCCAAAGTTCATCCAACATCAATCACGATGCCCGCCACCACCGCCAACCCAAAAAAAGAAAAAAAAAAAAACCCTGCTCCGTCACGACACTGGCTCCCACCAGCTGCGCCATGTTGACAGTTCTTAAATACTGTCATGACGTCACTGTGGTCAGGTGCATTGCTTTGACCAATCACAATGCACTGTCAGGGCATAGTGGATTGTGGGGCACGGCGGGCGAACAGTCTGCTGAATGCCTGTATTGTTCATGTGTTCAGCGAACACACAAAGTTTGAGTCGAACTTAGGTTCAACTCGAACATTCAGCCCAACACTACTAGCTATATTATTATGCCATTCTGGGACATTTATATATGAGACTATGGTTAATCCTTTTCCCCCTAGTGCCCAATACTAGACCACTATATCATTTCCTGTTAGCAGAGTGGATCCAGTTGTTCTGATAGCAGAGTATCTTGGGACCTGTAGTCCTATAGCCAATACATCCTGTATTCTTGAGTGCTGGTGAACGAGGAGGATGCTGGGAACGCAGATATATTCTACAGCAAGGAACTGGTTCTCTCTCTTGGCATGGGATTCAGGGATGAACACAGGGGGACTGCCGTTCTCCTCAAGACATAGATTTGTTTGCCTACTGCTGTGGGATTCTGCACATCAGTTCAGCACAGCGGTGACACCAATTGCCACTCAGGGATCACACTTACATCTCTGACATCTCTGCTTGCCAAGCTGACAGGCCATCAGGCTTTAACTCCGCACATCCCTGCAAACAGCCAAGAGCCTGTGCAAGAACTCTGTTCCTAATAGACCGTGCTGTCCATAGGATTGGTAAGCGGGTGGATGCCCAACCTCTTTCTGTCATCACTCTAGAGACACTGCATACAAACACCTTTACACCTCAGTACCAGGAGATCTTTGCTTTGAGCAGTACCATGGCTTATCTGTTTAATTTCATTGAATTACCAGTATTCACTAATGTTTATGGGCCCCCACTATTGCTAGCAGAAGACAATGGATACCATCATATCGGGAACTTTAACCACTTGCCCTCCTGAGGATTTACCCCCCTTCCTGACCAGGCCATTTTTTGCGATACGGCGCCGTGTTACTTTAACTGACAATTGCGCAGTCATGCAATATGACTCCTCCATAAAGGCTAGATTTATGGAGTGCACGACTAATAATTGTCCTGTAGACAGATTCTCCCACCTGAGCTGTGAATCTCTGCAACTCCTCCAGAGTTACCATGGGTCTATTGGCTGCTTTTCTGATTAATGCTCTCCTTGCCTGGCATGTCAATTTAGGTGGACGTCCATGTCTTGGTAGATTTGCAGTTGTGCCATACTCTTTCCATTTTTGAATGATGGATTGAACAGTGCTCCGTGAGATGTTGAAAGCTTGGAATATTTTTTTTATAACCTAACCCTGCTTTAAACATCTCCAAAACGTTATCCCTGACCTGTCTGGTGTGTTCCTTGGCCTTCATGATGCTGTTTGTTCACTAATGTTCTCCAACAAACCTCTGAGGGCTTCACAGAACAGCTGTATTTATACTGAGAATAAATTACACACAGGTGGACTCTATTTATTAATTAGGTGACTTCTGAAGGCAATTGGTTCTATTAGATTTTAGTTGGGTATATAATAGTAAAGGGGGCTGAATACAAATACACGCCACACTTTTCAGATATTTATTTGTAAAAAAGTTTGAAAACCATTTGTCATTTTCCTTCCACTTCACAATTATTTGCCACTTTGTGTTGGTCTATCACATAACATCCCAATGAAACAGATTTATGTTTTTGGTTGTAACATGACAAAATGTGGAAAATTTCAAGGGGTATGAATATTTTGTCAAGGCACTGTATGTGTTAGCTGGAGTTGTATATCCTGAACCAATTTCTGTGGCCTACTCTTTTGAACAAGTTTAATATAGAGAGATGTTACTAGAGAATTGTGTTTCTTGCATTATTATTCTATACTGTTGAAATATGTCTGAACCCAGAGTGTCAAAGGTGTCGGGAGGCATGCAAGATCAGGGCAACCACTGGGGAAAAGTATTACCAAATCGGCTTCTGCGGGGGTAGCACTACATTTAGTTATAGATTTAGTTCTTATTTAGTGTTCTCCGGTCACTGAAGGCTTTCAAAAATAAAAGAAATGATAAAATAAATAAGTAAACCTTTAAAGTATATCTTAACCCAAATATTTAAATATGTAACGAAGATGAGGGGAGGGGGGAGTGTTCTGTACTCCTGTGCTTAGATACAGTGCAGTGAATGAACGTTGTCACCATAGGACAGGAAATGTTATTCCTAGTATTAACAGGTGAAAATAAAGGGGAAAATCCAGAAAAAAACATGAGTGCAGCCACAATATCTAAGAACTGGTAATTTGCAATATATTTCATTTTTTGGTTTAGGTACGCTAGTGTGAATATACAATGTTAACAGGCATGGAACAAAAACATGGACACCCAGACATGAAGGATGTAGGAAAACACAGTAGAAACACACACACACTTGTCACCATGTTTGACTGGAAAATTACTAGTCTGCAGTAATGAGAATTTTTTTTTTTCAGCCTATGTTAATGTAAAGTAAATATATAGTCCCCTCCATATAGAGCGTGTAACTTGGTTTAGTTACTACTGTATTACAGGCTCTGTGTGTTCTCTATGTGTCAGAATGGCTAATTAAGTTTTAATGGGTTGGGAATGGCAGTTCATTTGAATAAAACAAACTTTTTAAATGATGGATGATGGTGTTGAAATGAACTACTGTAAATTAT